ATATATATATATATATATATATATATATATACATACACATATACATACGCACATATACATACAGGGGTACAGGGGGATACAGCATTTGCCATAAAACACAAGGGTGGTGGGTTGCTTATCAAGGCAATAACAGGTGCTTATTGTGTACATTTTTGTAAATACATTTTCAGTGTGGGCTGAGGTCCAGACCATATGGAATCTGGTTGATTTTCTAGGATTATGACGGCCTGTTCAATAGCAACCAATTCCAAAAAGTTTTTGTTCCAATTCTGTAAATCAAAGCAAATATAGTTTGTTTCCTTCCAGTTCAACAATATTATACACCTGGGTGTGCAGGTGGCGCAGCAGTTAGCACGTCTGACCCATATACAGAGGCCTTAGTCCATGACAGGTCGAATCTGACCTGTGGTCCTTTGCTGCCTGTCTCTCCCCCTCTCTCATACCCCCTTTCCTGTCAGCCTACTTTTGAAAAAACGAGCCACTAGTGCCGCAAAAAAAAACAAAACAATATTATACATTTTGCTGCTAGAAAGCCCAGTGATATGATATAGTCCACATTCTTTGATTAAGAGTCTTGGGTCTTTATTCCATGTGGACAATCCAGGGGACAAAGTGATATTTCCACCTCTAGCATATGAGACAATGTGTCAGTTATGTTCCTCCAGAATATCTGCACAGGAGGAAAATTCCTAAGCAGATGCAGCAGTGTGCCTTCTGACCCACAGCCATGCCAGCACAATTTCCACTTTTCTTTGTCCATTTTATTTATAATGTAAGATGTAATATATGCTTGATTTGTTATTTTGAGCTGTATGATTTTATACTTAACACATTTGGGCATTTTTGTGCTTTTTTTCAGTGCTGCATTCTACTGAGTCAGAAATGGGCACACCAATGTTTTTTACCCATTTTTTTTTTTTTTTTTTTTTACATATTTATGGTCTGCTTTAGTATTATATACAATAGTCAGTATACTTTTGACACAGTGCCTCTGTTCGTCACAGCATGTTTTAATTTATCCTCAAGGTCCTTTTTGTCCCCCAGGCTGTTTTCTTGAGATAGTAAAGATTTCAGAATGGATTTAATCTGTAAGTAATTAAAAAAAATATTTGTCATTTAGGCTATATATTTTTTTTTAAATCACAAAAAAATTACTCTTTTTCCATTTAAAATTAATTGTGATACATTTTGAATATGTTTTTTGTTGCCTTACTTTGTTCTTTAGGATTTTCTTACCTGCCATAAAAAGTGGGTAAGACCATAGGGGACAAGAAGGTAACGATTTTCATTTGAAATTAAAGAATTTATGCAGCGTTTTGATGACATCTACAGAAAATGTTATTAGTGGATTATTCATATAATTATTTGCAAAGGGTTGCAAGAGAAAAATCTGACTTATGTTCTTTCACTATTTTTTCTTTGAGCCATTCCCAACTGCCAGTTTCTCTAAAGTTGCTATATGCCCATTTTAAAGGATATATTGAATTAAATGCAATATAATATAAATAAACATCTGGCAAGCCAACACCACCTTTATTACGGTCTTAAATACATTTTTCACATTGATTCTAGGTTTCTTATTTCTCCACAAAAAAAATCTGTGACTTACTTATTAATATCTTTAACCATTTTGTAGAAAATTTAAGAGGAATTGATGAGATTATGAAGGTCAATGTGTGTTTTTTTTTTTTTTTTGCTGCCGAAGGGACTGATGCATTTTACAAATCCGATGGAATCACCAGGAGGGAATAATATTTGGAAATATTTAATTAAAATTTTTAAGAAATAAGCTAGGAAGTTAAACCAGCAAGTTTAAAAGCAAATTCACCCACAAACTACGGACACGTTTGTTTGTTTTTTGTTACTTTGGAGGAAATAACAAAAAATACTGCTGCAGGTATTCTGTTTTAGAGAATAGAAACAGTTCTGGTAATTCTTTGAGACCTTAAGCCTAGAAAATCTTTGTAAAGTCAGACTGTGAGAGAATCTTTTTTATTTCTGTCTTTATGGTATTGTTGAGGATCTGGATTCAGTTGTATAGTGAATTTATAGCAACACTAGGTAACTTTTAGCTATTAGGGGTGCTAGTCCTGTAACTTCAAGTTTTACTGCCCCTGAAAGCAACCAGCAACAACACACTGTCATGCAAAGATGAGCTATTGAGAAGGACAGCATGCACAGAGCATCTATAAACAACAATCTCTGTATATGGACCTGAGAATGATTCAATATATTTTAAATTACGGTAGGCTGATACTGGGGCCAAAAGCAAAGTACCATCTAGATATGTACATTTAGACACACATACTTGCCACACAGGGGCAACATGCGTAGTATATGGGGGAGTGGCAGCCTAGTGGTTAAGGCATTGCACTTGGAATCCAGAGGTTCTGAGTTCAAGCCCCACTCCCACAGACTGCTACTCTGGGTCCCTGAGCAAGACCCTTAACCCCACACTGCTCCCTGCTCTTGCACAATGGAAGCCCAATGCTCTCCAAGGGGATGGGTTAAATGCAGAGAGTTCATTTCAATGCTTTGTACTTGTGACAGTACAAAAATGACAATAAAAATTCAGAAGTAGGTTCTGCATCCCTGGAAAAGATCCTTCACCTTGATTGTGGCATAAAGTGCTTTAGGGTCCCCTGACTTGGAAATGCACTATATATGTATTGTCCATTTTGTATCATTGGGTGGAAAGCCTTTCATCTAATTTTTTTGTTTTACTTTTGCTTACAATAACTGTATATTGATGTGCAGAGATGCATCTGATTGCATTACATATAATATGATATTAAAGCTATTCTTTTCCTTTCTTACCTGCAGTGACAGAACAATAAAGCCGATTTTTAGCATTAAATAGAAAGCATCTTTCAAGTAATAAAAAAAGTGGTCATGCAGAATTCCTACTGGAGGAGACAAATAAAAAAGAAATGGTATTTAATTCAAGCGATAGGTCTTATTTCTAACTTTCTCCCTGCTGAGCTGGATGCTTATTGTACTTCTGGTGGAGAAGATTGGATGTTCACAGTCAAGCTTGAGTCAAAACATGATTCATATATTTGTTTCCAATTTATTAGATTATAATATGTGTAATCTTGGTGGATTGATCTTTTGTTATAACTTGTCGTCATCTATTCAAGGTGAGTCAGAGAATAAACCAGGCAGGGCTCCTCTGCTTTAGATCAGGTTGGCAGTTTTTTGCAAAAGACAAACAGCTTCTTTGATGGAATGAATACATTTATCTCTTCTGTGGCTCTTTAAAGCAGGACAATGTGAAAAGAAGTGCAGAGTCTTAGAGTAAAAGCACATCGCATCATTTTATTTACATTCAGTTTTAAGTATTTTACGGGTTCTCAGTAAACTGAGGGCAACATTCAAGTATTAGCTTAAGAAATGAACACTGCTTCCTACCTAGACATATAAAAACATAGCATGATACACAACGTCAAACCTACATATGAAAGTTGGACATTTAATAAATTACATTCAGTAGAAACCTAAGCAACAGTTAAACTCTCCAGGTCATTTCTGGGGCCCTCTGATGGTTACACTGTGCATGTGTCAGAGCTTTTTGAGCTGCTAAAGATATGACTGGAGATTAAACCTTTTCCTTTGAACAGATATTTGTGTTGGTTTTCACACTCATCATATCTGAACCAGCACAGGGCACTGTAAAATTACTTCTAGATGGAAAAGTTCACAAACTTGATCAAAGGTCACTGATTTGAATGTTTCACACCAAAAATGAGTTCACAATACCTCATGGTGGCTCAGATAGATGAGTATGACATAGATATATCTAAATCCTTGTATTATATATAGAATAGAAATAGAATAAAGGAATGTTCACTTTCTGTAAAGCTAAAAGAGAATTTATGATTATTTGTGCAAAATCACAGACTTAGCTAGCTTGCATTTTTCATGTCTGAGAAAAAAAAAAGTCTTGACTGATCTTGAAAGCGAACCTCCAAACCTGGACCGCCTCCCAGTCATGTTTACTTCTTCACTCAACTCTTTTTTATGTGTTCAGAGAACTTGCAAGAACATTTCCCCCGAAAAACATTAGCAGTCTCCAGAGATTTGCTCAGAACTGGTTGACTTGTTTCTGGTCCAAGCTGGGGAACAAGCTCTTCTCCCAGCGGCCTGTCATGGTTCCCTCCAGGCCTGCCTGGCACTTCACAATGAGGTAGATTTTGCGGAGCACAGTGCGGCGCAGCAGGATGTAGACCCAGGGGTCCAGGATCTGGTTCCACGTGGCCAGCCTCACTCCTATGTGCATCAGAGTTTGGTAGTAGGCCAGGTTTTCACCCACAGCTTTGCTGGAAGACTGGATCACCGACATCACAGCAAAGACCTGGAGGCAAGAAGCAGATTAATTATTCAATCATTTTCCAAGAGTAAAATCACAACGTACACGCATTATGAAGCTGAACAAGTAAACTGAAAGATACCCGTTTGTGTTGCAAGAGCAAACGTCCCAGGTTCTGATAGGATTTGGTTGTTGTTGCTCATGTTTTAAATCAATTCTGTCTTAGATAACATCACACTCCAAGTGTTTCAACTAATATTTACCCCAAAAGCATCATATTGATTTTATCTGCCTGTTATTTTAGAAACACCTGGAAGCAAGAAAGCTTATATTTCTTTCATGTATTTTTAATAGGCGGCTTCCTTCTTCCATCCAAGGAACAAAACTACACGAACGCAAGGATAGACAAACAGGACCCAGAAAACGTATTTACCTCTTTGAGATTTTTTGTTAGTTACCTTTTGTTGTCGTATTTATTAGAGGTCCTATAAACACCCTTTTGTGTCATAAAGAGATAAGCAGAGTAAAGACAAAATGCATTTTTTAAGTGATGATTTAGTTTACAAAAGAAAGAAATATGATCAAGATCAACCTGGCTCTATGCAAAACTATAAAAGCAACTCTTTGATAATTTCCTACATTTCCATGACCAGTGTCATGAGGCACGCAAGGTCTAATTACTAGCTGCAGTTTGCTAGATCTCACAAAGCAAACCCTCCCCCCAAGAGTGGATCAATTGGATCAGGTCCACTTTCCTCAGGAAAAAAGAAGGATAAGAAAGAGACTGGGTTAAAATAGCATCCATGGGATAAATCTGACCCCCCCTCCTCTCCTAACACTTCTGAACAAACAAACACAGATGTCTGTCTTTTATGATCCTGATATCTTTGGAGAAATATTTTGTAGATGAGGACTCAAAAGTAGAAGGTTAAAAAAAAAACTAACAGCATTTCAGAAAAAGAGACCCATCTTCAATCATGCAAGATGGTGGTAATGTGATGTTCTGGGCCTTTTTCCTATGCTTCTGGGTATAACTGACTTATAATCAGTGGAAACACGAGGATCAACACCCCTCACTGTCCTGCAGGACACTATTGATAGCTGAAAGAAATATAAATTTAAGGTTGTAGAGCGGCCTAGTCAAAGTTTGGACTTAAACCTGGTTGATTAAATGTGATGGGACCTTAAGCAGGCTATTTTGGGGCAAATACTTTTCTGAAAGTTTGGGTTTGTTTGGATTTCCTTTAACATTCAATACAATTCAATTTATTTATATAATGCCAATTTACACCACGTCATGAATGCTCTTTATACAGATGGTTCAATACAAGTAATTGTATTTTAGTAAGAAAGCTAAACTCAATCTTTTATTTATTCTGATATTAAAATGTGTCTGATATGACACACTAAGATATAACATCTGTTTACAGCCTCAAATCATAAACAAAAGAAGCCATCTATGCTTAAAGCAGGAATATCTCCTGTCATTGTTGTTGGTGTTTAGTTAATTCTAAAAGAATGAAAGGATTTTGTTAACTATATGTTAAAACTCTGTATCCACTGCTGCTGACCATACTGAATTCTCCTCCGTTATAAGATTTTCACTTTTCTTTTTTAAACTAAACACCAGATTTGTTGCAAAATCAGTCAAAGTCATTTGGATTTGATATTTGTAGGAGAATGTGTCACTATCGTTTTTTTTATTATTATTATTTGTTTTAGCTATTCTTTTGCCAATTATAATTTGATCAAGAACAAAATCTGATTTGAAAAAATGATTTATTTGCATAAAGCATCATGTCTTTAGTAACTGGATGATTTTGAGTAAATCTTTTTGAATAACTCTCTTTTTTTATTTATGTTTTACTGAATTTTCTCCCTAAAAGGTGTCTTCATGTGTTCTATACATTAATACCAGGTGATCAGCTCAGTTCTTCTGATTCTCTTATGTCACTGACTACAATAAATCGACAGCAAAATAATTTGCTATGTTTTCCCCCAATTAGCATTTTTTTTAACTGTATTTTATGAATTTGTAAAATAGCAATTTGCACCTTGCAGTACTGGATAGTGTATGTCAAAGAAGATTGTGAAAAACAGCAAATATCAACAAAAAGTTTCATCTGGATAAAAGTTCAAACAAATCACACTGAATAATTGAAAAATATTCACTAAAACTTGAAGGTAAACATTATATCTTTTAAGTGGTTGGTAAAGTTTATAACAGTTTAAACTGATCTCACACTTCTTCTAAAAATTCTCTTTTTCAAGTTTTATATGTCAATGAAATAAAAATATTAACGTCTGAAAAAAGGAAGAGCTAAGAAACATTTTTTCAGAAGAACTATCTTGTGAATCATTAGATTAAATATCGTTAACATGGGGTTGCAGCACCCTGGTGGGTCACTATTCTGCAAATGGGTCATAAAATGTAAGATTTTTATTATACATATAAAGTTAAAAACATTTGATAAACATTTACACATAAATCAAGCATAGTAACAGCTTCAATACTGATTAACATAAAAAAAAAAGATTTGTGTTACTTTAAAGCAGGTTCTAAATGTCTGCATTAAGACCTGATATCTCTGGAATTATTAGATGATTTATTTTGTACATTTTCAGGCTTAAAATAGTTCTAATGAGCCCCCAAAAAAAGGTTAAGCCGTTGTTGTCAGCACATAAACCTTCAGTCTGATGTTTTTAACCTTTATCAGCACCAAGTGGCTGTTAAAAACTTGGACACTCACTCTGCCAGTCCCCAATCTGGGGTCCCTGACTGAAACCCACTGAAGATCCCTACATTAGACAATGTTTTCTTGTTACGTACCAGCAGAGGGCTCCAGCAGATGCATGAAGTGACCATGATCCCAACCAGCTGCACCATCATCTCTATGTCATGGGAGCGGGCTGAGTGATGGGAACCAGGCTGCCTCCGTATACGTACCATTACCAATGTCAGCCCACTGATTGTGTTGCACACCAGTGCCACAGTGAGTGAGGTTAGGCCCAGTCCAGAGAAAAGCACAACAAAAGCCACGTCCACCTCCTTGGTGTTATGCAGCACGTTGATGAAGCACCAGGTCTTTGGCTCCTGGTAGGTGTAGGAGCCTAGCTGGAAGCAGGGGAGCAGGGCTACACTCAGAGCTGCCAGCCAGATGGCAGCCAGGCAGACCTTAGTGCGTGTTGTGGTGACCAGGGATGAGTGTAGCAGCGGTTTGGTGACGCCCAGGCATCGCTCTGCAGCCATGGCACAGCCCATGAAGAGTGGGCAAAGGCCGAAGAAGACCATGCTGCCCCCCAAGAACTGGCACATGCTATCAGTGGAGTATTCTGGGCTGGCTCTGCCGGTAAAGTAGAGCTTCAGAACCAGGGCACCTGGAATCAAATGCCCAAAGAAGTCTGTGATCACCAGAGAAGTAGCAAACAGGAGGAACGGGGCTTTGGAGCGCCGGCGCTGCAAGGAGTAGGCATTGACCAGGATAAACAGAGCCACAGTGTTAGAGATGATGCCCAGAGACATAAGCAACACCACAATGATGCCGCCACTGATTTGGTTCTGCATTGCAGTGATATTTTCCTTTGGATGCTGCTCCATAGCTGTCACCATGGCTTCCACCATAACAGCACTGCCATTCCCCCAAGATGGAAGAGGAGAGGAGGCGGATGAGTTAAAGTGTCTCAAGGCAAACATCTCTGACTTTTCACTCGTATCGGATCCATTTTAAAGGTGAGCTGCAGGAAACAGAAAAGAAATATAAGGTTTTAAAGTAGTTGGATATAATATGCCAAAAATCTGTTTATTTTTGGAATATTAAGGAATATTTGTGAATACCGCAATTATTGCTATGAAATAGTAATTGCTTCCTGATAGGTTTCTTCTGTTTTGCCTTTTCTTTTTTTTTTTGCTACACTTAAATGCTTCAGAACTTCAAACAAACTTTGATATCTGAGAAAGACAAATCAGGAAAATGAAAAATGTTTATTAGGGGAAAAAATATTATTATATAACAGAAAAATTGTAAATGGTCAAAAATGTTTTCTCTAGCACTATAAACATGCTGATTGATAATAATGAGGTTGTGATGGACAAATTTGGAAAATAATTTGGTCACTTTTTTGGCATGTTATCTCAAAATCACCAAATGTGGAAATAATCTCAGAGAGGAATGTTATTCAACACTACAGTTTAGGGAATAATAAAGGGGCAATAAAGCAATCCTGGGAGCGACAGAGATTTTCAGATTTCTCAGATTTCCCAGCTCTCTTCAACAGCCATGTATCCAGATAAAAAAAAAACATACATTTTTGGAACCATGCATGAATTGTTTAAAAATGTAGTTTGGATAAATAAATTATTGTAGTAGTATCCTTATTCCTTTAGATATATTTAACCTTCAAAAGGACAGTTTTGTAGTATGAATATTTATCAGATAAGCTGATTTCTTACTTTTCAATAGTCTTTTCAAATATATTCATATATCTGAAAAAATAAACAGTGTTTATATCCCTAAATGGTTTGAATTTAGCTTTTGAAATTCCAGAGAACTTATTTAACATTAAGTTACAAACATATCCCTATAAATAAACTAGACTTATTTTTTAACCCTTTATAGGGCACTCAGTGAAAGACTTTAAATATCTAAATATCTCTTTCAAGGAAAGAGCGCACTGCAAAAACTTGAAATCTAAGTAGGCCTACTTCATTTTTTCTTGAAATAAGTGCATTTTTTCTTGAATTGAACAGGTAAGTGAAACACTTTGCAAATGGAATAAGAAAATTCACATTTAAAATAAGGGAAAAAATGCAGTCTCCTATTTCAAGTGCATAATAACAAATAATCTGATTTTATGGATAAAAATGCTCCTTCCACTGATGGATTTTCTTATTTACCTACTCAAATTAAGGATAAATACACTTATTTTCACTAATTTTTAGATCATTACCTTATTGTAACATTCAAAAAATATGGATATTTTGATGGCAGAAATGGATGTCAATGTAACAAGAAACGCCAACTTGCCCGAATATATTAAGAAAAATAACAAAAGTGGGGGGCTCCATTTCTAAGGGTGATCAAAAGCGGTAACTTGCCCTACAAAGGGTTTTAAAGACAGGTCAAACAAAAACTAAAGACTCACCATTAGAGCAAAAAGTCCTCTCAGTCCATCTGAAAATGTGTGTCACAGGTGATCTTTAAAGATACTCCAAAGGAAAGGTCCTTAAAACAATCCAAGAGACCTAAAAGCAGTGGTTTTTATTTTCCAAAGGCTCAGCATTCATATTTCCCGTAATGAAATCCACCGCCGCTGGATGAATTGTAATGAATCGATGTCCTCCGATGAGCTTTATTGGTTTTTCCTCTGCAGGCGCGGCTCTGCTGAGCTGAAGGGTCTGGAGGTTTTATAGCGCTCGCTTCTCCTCGGCCTGCGTGGGCGTCTCTGTGCGCCGTGCGCCCCCACGGTGCGCCTCAGCTTGTTTACATGAAACACGCCATCAGAGCGCACAGCTTCCAAGTCTTACTCACTTTATATTTTTATCTAAAATAAAGTGATACCTCTTTAATCTTGTAAGGATTAATGTCCCCCATCAGGTCAGTAAATGGTTAAAGCGCCTCTGATATCACTTTGCGGTGAGGGGGATCTTTTTTGAGCTCCTGGATCGATTTGAGGATTCAGTTCCTCGTCTGCATTATTATTTATTTATTTTTAATTTTTTGCTGCCAGATGCAAGGTGCTGTGCTTAAAATAACCTCTGATATATTAGTTGTCCAGAAGAATCCATTGCTTAATAGTTACACCCTGCCAAGTAGATTGCCAGCTGCACAACCTGCATCAATTAGCTCAGTGAGAAAGGCTAAAGTAGGCATTATATTTAAACTTTTAAATATTAATTTTGTGGTGAAAATCTTTTGGTAAAATGTCAAAACAACTTCTACCCTCTATAGAAATCCAGATGTTTCTCAAGGACATGTGTTTTTACAGCAACATCTGGGAGAAAACTGCCTTTGCTATGTCTGGCTGGATGAAAACCAAGACATTAATTCCTCCACTTTTCACTGCAGAATGGACAAAAAAACAGGTGGTCCCGTTTTCTTTAGTTATACAGGGACCTGGTTGGCCAGCTGTAGTTTAAGAAAGGGCTAAAACGACACGTCAAATTGGCTGCTGGTGTGCAGGAAGGAGAGCAGAGGGGTTTGGTAACTGACCGAAAAACGGTGTGATTCTGTCAAACATGTGAAGGAAGACTTTGTGTAATGGGCCTGTAGCCCCTATCTGATGTTTAAACTCACATGTAAGGGATGGATGGCTGGAGGTCTTTGGTCACCTCTATATAAGTTTGAAGTTAGTTCACATATGTTCAACTATTATATAGTATTTTCTTCTCTTTTAAACACATAGTCGGATGTCACTTGATAGGCTACTGTATTTCTAGGGTACCAGGAAACAAAAAAATATGAAGGGTGTGATTGCCACAATGAAGCTGGCTCTGATTGGGATGCCTGCTGGTCCTGGTTCTGTAAGGAGGAGAGTGGAAGAAAATAAACATTAAGATGATGGCAAAAATGGCACAACTGATATAGATACACTAGTCCATGGTTTCTTAGAGGTACAGTATAGTGGAGAATGTTCTTTTTCTGGGTGGATCATCAAAATAACTGACAAGATAAATAAATAATCAATTATTCCTGTGATATGTTTACATAAGGCCATGCTACGTGCTCATCCTCAGTTAGCTATCTTTTTTCTACTCGCGCAAACTTTTAAGTGGTTAGCTACGGTGTCAGTCAGTCATTGAAGCTCTCTTTTCTCACCATGGTTGTTTGAAAATATTATAATTGAAAATCTAATTATCACTCATCTCATCCGCCTGAATCTGTTCCTTTATGTTCAGCTCAGCCCAGCTATCAAGGCCAGATCATTGTTGGTTGCTATCTGTTTGTTTATGCCTGTTAGTCTGTCTGTTTATTTGGTTTAGTTTATTCCATGGTTCATCTCCACTGTTCCTGGCGGCCAGCGAATTGAGAGGGTCTTTGTGTGTGTCTTGGCTCCTGATCGTGCCCTGGTTTTTTTCTGCGGAGCCCTCAGGGTTTTGGCCTGTAAGCCTGGCTAGACCAGTTTAAAGTTTCCTGCAGAGATCCTGGTACCACGTCACGTCTTGGTTTCCCTTAACCACTGAGTCTGCCCGTCTCCATCTCATCCTGCCTGTCTTCATCTGTGTGTGTCTGTTTGGGCCCACTCTTGACCCGTTCTGACTCTGAACCTGCCTAAAGGCTCTGAAGATTCCTGGAACTCAGGATCTATCTGTTCCTTGGCGGATCGGAAACCCCTGGTCGAACTACAGACTCCTGGATTCCTGAACTGTTCGTGCCTGCTCTGTCTTCCCCTGACCTGGATCGGCCTCCTCCAAGTTCTCCAGGGCTGGATTGCACCTCTTTCTAAGGAGATGGATTGAATTGTGAATCCAGAGTGTCACGGATTGGGCGGTGTCCTGCCCCCCTCCTGCAGTCACTGTATGTCCGCAGATCCACAGCAGCCCGCTTCACTTCTGTCCGTCTGTTTATTTCAATAAATTTTTTTAACTTTCCTACTGACTGCCTCACCTTGAATACTTGGTCCATCTGTCCCATTTTCTGACATCCACGAAGTGTATGAGAAGAAGAGAAAGGCCTCAGGAGAGAGAAACAAGATCAGAGTGTTTTTGTAAGATTATTTTATGCGAAAAGCTCAGGTAGGGCTTCCCACTGATGCCTCAGTTGCAGAGTTTGCAAAGTTTCTACTTGACAGGTAATGTTTAGTATGCTATTTGGAAAAATCTGTTTCACACCACCGCTGGTAAAAATGATGTACCTGTATATTGAAACTTTCCAGGGAAGATAAGTTTATTTATTTTGTAATTTGCATCGTAAGTAGTTATACGGTGGCCACAGATCCTTATTTACCCTGCAAATATGTTAAAATTTTTTACAGATTCAAGCATGTCATGATTTTTTTTATGTACCAGTAGTCTTATTTACTGGGAAACTTTTTTTATATAAATATGGGTGAAATGAGATCCATCTAAGTGAACGTCTCATCATTGCGTCGCCTCCTCGAGGAGAAATGGCCTCCTACAGGCTCTCACATGCATTTAATATGTTCATGTTTAAGATGTGTCTCTACTCAAGGCTCATTCAAATGAGCCACTTTTTTATTCAGTTCAAGTGGGGGGAGGCAGGGAAACACCTAAAACTTGGAGGAAAATGGCTCCTGAGGACCAGGTTAAGAAACCCATTGCTAACTAAGCCTGAACACATAGAGGATGTCAATGTGTCTTCATTTGGAGCACAACATACCACTGTCAGTACAACATACGGTATCTTTAAATTCTGCTCATATTGGTGCCTTATTAGTCAGATTTTATGGAAATAATGACCAAACCAGAGTATCTCCCGTCTTAAATTGCCAGAATGGATTTGCACTTAAAAAACATAAATGCACCCTCTGGATTCTGGACTAAAAAGTCAGACTATCTCCTATATCCTTCAGTTTTACCTCCAGCTCCTAATGTGAGACCAAATTTTCCTTACTTTTCCACATCAGTTAAAACAATCCTATTTGGCCTCCACATCCCGCTGGCAGGTCTGGGTTTTGGGATTTGGAAGATTCTCCAACATTTCCACGTAGTTTCACCACAACTTCCACAACATCCATAATAACCTTTGGGGCAGTCTTAGAGCTTGAAGATCTGTTCGGCAGATAGCCACTACTGTAAGCAGAGTATCACTCCTTTCTAATGTAATAGAGAATAATAAGCTGCTTCTTTTGGACGGATGTGCACAGAAGTATTTCACCTTGGTTGTGGGATTCTAAACACCACCACAACAGTTTGAAGGATCCTTTTTTTACCGATTTTTAACAGACAATCGCTGTCTGTGAAACTGACAGGACTTGGAACTTTAAAAGATGTGATTTCTGGTTTTTATATATCTACAACAAGGAAAGTAAGTCCCGCGCAACAATCATCACAATTACCTTTTCAGTGAGATGTGACATCATGTGGCAGAGATAGCTGCGGTGTGAGCATTCCTCTCTGACATTTAAGTGGAAAACCACACATTATCTGAAGCTGCGGGCCAAGAAACAAAAGAGAGGAAAGAGTTCATGTGAACGCCTGGAGAAGACAAGACAAACGGGCCGCTAGAGAGTTCAACTGATGAAACACACACACTCCTTGTAGTGCAAATAGTTTCAAAGCTGCTGTCCGGCCAAAACGCAAAGATCATTTCTAAAGGTTGGATACTACATGTCTGTAATTCTGCACTGGCAGATTGTTCCAACATAAATACTTAAAATTACTCCAGAATGAGACCGACCTGTCTCCAGTAATAATAACATGAAAAAATAGACTCATGTTTCAGTTTAAATGCATAGAATAGTGGGATGCAGACTCAAAGGCTAAGGTCAACCTGCACTTTGAGGATAGAGCCAGAGCTACTGTGTCTGCAGCGTTTTAGTGCAATACCACACCAGTGCATTGTTAATATAAGATGGAAGAGTAGGACATGGTGTTAAATAAGCTTCTCTTGAAGTTAAAACTAGGATAGAGAATCAAACCCAAACATGCAGTCCATCAGCTACACTTCTACCTCTGAAGACACCCAATAGCTGTTAGAAAGTCACTCATTTAGAAAGAAACACCTCAAGATGACATGATCATTTTGACTTTCAGAAAAACAAATTGTAGACGCTGTTCAAGTAAAAAATTACATTTATAATATACAGATTTTTTTTCCCGTGCCCATACCACAAACAGCTCTGTGGTCTGCAGCTGTTCAACCAAAGGTGAACAGGGTTTGACATGATCCTCAGCCAGCAGCTAGGTTACNGGGGGAGGCAGGGAAACACCTAAAACTTGGAGGAAAATGGCTCCTGAGGACCAGGTTAAGAAACCCATTGCTAACTAAGCCTGAACACATAGAGGATGTCAACGTGTCTTCATTTGGAGCACAACATACCACTGTCAGTACAACATACGGTATCTTTAAATTCTGCTCATATTGGTGCCTTATTAGTCAGATTTTATGGAAATAATGACCAAACCAGAGTATCTCCCGTCTTAAATTGCCAGAATGGATTTGCACTTAAAAAACATAAATGCACCCTCTGGATTCTGGACTAAAAAGTCAGACTATCTCCTATATCCTTCAGTTTTACCTCCAGCTCCTAATGTGAGACCAAATTTTCCTTACTTTTCCACATCAGTTAAAACAATCCTATTTGGCCTCCACATCCCGCTGGCAGGTCTGGGTTTTGGGATTTGGAAGATTCTCCAACATTTCCACGTAGTTTCACCACAACTTCCACAACATCCATAATAACCTTTGGGGCAGTCTTAGAGCTTGAAGATCTGTTCGGCAGATAGCCACTACTGTAAGCAGAGTATCACTCCTTTCTAATGTAATAGAGAATAATAAGCTGCTTCTTTTGGACGGATGTGCACAGAAGTATTTCACCTTGGTTGTGGGATTCTAAACACCACCACAACAGTTTGAAGGATCCTTTTTTTACCGATTTTTAACAGACAATCGCTGTCTGTGAAACTGACAGGACTTGGAACTTTAAAAGATGTGATTTCTGGTTTTTATATATCTACAACAAGGAAAGTAAGTCCCGCGCAACAATCATCACAATTACCTTTTCAGTGAGATGTGACATCATGTGGCAGAGATAGCTGCGGTGTGAGCATTCCTCTCTGACATTTAAGTGGAAAACCACACATTATCTGAAGCTGCGGGCCAAGAAACAAAAGAGAGGAAAGAGTTCATGTGAACGCCTGGAGAAGACAAGACAAACGGGCCGCTAGAGAGTTCAACTGATGAAACACACACACTCCTTGTAGTGCAAATAGTTTCAAAGCTGCTGTCCGGCCAAAACGCAAAGATCATTTCTAAAGGTTGGATACTACATGTCTGTAATTCTGCACTGGCAGATTGTTCCAACATAAATACTTAAAATTACTCCAGAATGAGACCGACCTGTCTCCAGTAATAATAACATGAAAAAATAGACTCATGTTTCAGTTTAAATGCATAGAATAGTGGGATGCAGACTCAAAGGCTAAGGTCAACCTGCACTTTGAGGATAGAGCCAGAGCTACTGTGTCTGCAGCGTTTTAGTGCAATACCACACCAGTGCATTGTTAATATAAGATGGAAGAGTAGGACATGGTGTTAAATAAGCTTCTCTTGAAGTTAAAACTAGGATAGAGAATCAAACCCAAACATGCAGTCCATCAGCTACACTTCTACCTCTGAAGACACCCAATAGCTGTTAGAAAGTCACTCATTTAGAAAGAAACACCTCAAGATGACATGATCATTTTGACTTTCAGAAAAACAAATTGTAGACGCTGTTCAAGTAAAAAATTACATTTATAATATACAGATTTTTTGTCCCGTGCCCATACCACAAACAGCTCTGTGGTCTGCAGCTGTTCAACCAAAGGTGAACAGGGTTTGACATGATCCTCAGCCAGCAGCTAGGTTACTGTTTTAAAACAGTTTTTTTGTTTTTGTTTTTTCTGCAACCATCTCCAGTATGTATGCAGAAATGGGCACACAACTTTACCCTTTATCTATATGATGTATAAAGGGTTTAAAATAGGATGGGTGGAAAAGAAAAATGCATATAACAAGTGGCCATGATGGTGTCTGAAATGATCAAACAGACAAAGTCTCATTTCCAGAGCATATTTCTGGATCCCCTGAAATGGTAATGGAAAAAATAGAGATAATGTTTCAACTATTCCTGCTGCTTCTGTAGACAAGCTGAAAAATTCAAACTGAAATGTTTGCTGTGAAAAAAACAAACAATGAAAGGTATTAATTACAGCTTCATTAGTCATTTATACAGTATGTGCCTTTTTTCTCTTTATGCTCAGGTGTTAAAGCCACGTAAGAAATATCAGCAATGAAGAGGATTTTTTTTAGCTGATAGAAGCATTAAAAAAACAAAACATAAAAGGACCCACTGAAACGACCACTGCATGGTTTATTGTGTTTAACGACTTTATCACAGTGAAACAGGTACATGTGTCAGCATTTCTACTGAGCTATAAAACGAGTGAGTGAAGATAACGACTTCATGTGTGACAGAAAGCTCCTGGAAGAACTATCTGTGTTTAGAATAATTACATCGACTTCAACCCCAGACTCAAGCAGAAGCACAGGTATCATGACCTAGCTCTGGAAAGACATTTAGAATCAACAGCCACTTAATTTTTGCGGTTTACCTCCTTTATTTTTTAAATTAATTGTTTAGAGTATTTTTTGTTTGTTTGTTTTGGGTTTTTTTTTCAAGTAGTTTCTGAATTTAAACTGGATACATATAAATATTTCTATCAAATTGGCCTCATGAACATTTAATAATCTTGTTTCATCAAACAAAACCTTACACATACTGACGGTTTGAACCATCTCTATAGAGTGCCAGAGAAACTGAAATTTATAATAGCACCAACACCTTGCACATTACAAAAAAAAATAATAAAATAAAAATCTGTGTCCAGTTATGCTAACATTCCCAGCTCACCACCTAATACTATTCAGAAGTCATTTGTTTCCTGGATGGTGTTAAACTGAAGTTTTGTTTTGCT